CAGGCTCCAGGCTCCCAGCTGTCAGCACAGAGCCCGACGCGGGGCTCGAACCCACAAACCGGGAGATCGTGACCTGAGCCGAAGTCGGACGCTCAACTGACTGAGCCACCCAGGCGCCCCAGATGCACCCCCAGTTTAACTCGTGGGCTCAGGGCTTTATGAAGTCATGACTTTTAGTGGCGCTTTTCTGGGAAGCTATGTACGTACAGTCTTTTGGTCTGGAAATTTCCAGTGTGGGAGACGTGGGCGCGGTGGTTTCGTTGCTTCCGTTTGTGGGGTAGTTGAAGAAGGGTGCTGTCTGTCCCCCCCCGGGGGTGGGCCGCTGCCCGTTGCCCTCGGGCCTCCTAACGCCTCCTCCCTCTCAGACCATCAGTGCTACAACGGTTCCGGCACGGATTACCGGGGGACCGCCACCACCACCAAGTCCGGGCACCAGTGCCAGCCGTGGGCCCTGCAGCTCCCGCACAGCCACCACCTGAGCAGCACGGACTTCCCCGAGCTCGGAGGGGGCCACGCATACTGCCGGAACCCCGGGGGGCAGATGGAGGGCCCCTGGTGCTTCACGCAGAATAAAAACGTACGCATGGAACTGTGTGACGTACCCCCTTGTAGTATGTATTCTCTCTCTCTCTTTTTTTTTTAACGTGTTGACTGTTGTGTATGACCTCGTGGTGACGTGGGGCCAGGAGGCTGGTGGGGCTGCCGCCGCCCCCACATCACCACCGTGATTGTCGGTTTTAAGTAAAGCCGTTGGCGGTTAGGGAAGTAATACCTGGTCATTCTAGGACGTTTTAAGTTAGAGACAGGTCTGAGGAGGCGTGGGCTGGTCACCCCTAATTGCACCGCTCCGTGGACTGCTGTTTACGTTTGGGGGGCCCTCTGTCACCTGTGTGTGGTGCTGGGATGCTCGGTTAGGCCCCTCGTCTCTCCACGAGCATCGTCACGGAACGTGTGCCAGTACGATAAAACCTTGATTTGCAAGCGTAATTCGTCCCGGAAACATGCTTGTGACCCAAAGCGAATTTCAGGAAGCCTTGGCTCGGGGCTGATCATGTGACGTCCGGCGACTCGTATCGCCAGACCTCACTCATCGATCAAGTTCAAATTTATTAGAAATGTTTGCTCGTCTTGCAGAACACTCGCAGAACAAGTTACTCCCAATCCAAGGTTTTGCTGTATTGATAGGGTGCTTCCTGGCGTCTGTCGCTAGGGGCGCAACACCGCCTGGCCCCCCCCTTGCCTCCCGCTGCACCAGCTTTCGTAGGTGGGCTCGGCAGAGTTGGGAAGAACAGGACTTCAGTCTTGTAACCAGTTTCCCTGCAATTTCTCTGTTACATTATGAACAGGAAGAGAGAGTGTGACTAAGGGCTGCAGACGGTACAAAGTACACACGTTATTTCTCTGTTGCAACCATTTATGTACGTGTTGCCGGCTCCCATCCGCCCGGATACCCCGAGAGAAGAGCCTTCTGAGTCTTATATTTTGGACCCTGGAGGCAGTGGGTTGGTGGAACGTTACTGACAAGACATGGATGAGGAGAGATGAACAGTGAAGCAAAACCCGGCTCACTGTGCCCCTGTTGGCCCCGGGCCGGGCACGTCTCCACCTGCAGTCACCTGAAAACTAGCATCCATCACCTTCTGGAAGTATAATTGGGCAGTTCCAAATTTGCCACTCTTTACTCAGCACAGATCTTTCTTTTTCTTTTCTTTCATTTTCTTTCCTTTTGTTTCCTTTCCTTTTGTTCTCTTTCCTTTCCTTCCCTTCCCTTTCCTCTTTCTTTCTTTCTTTCTTTCTTTCTTTCTTTCTTTCTTTCTTCTGAGAGAATGAGAGCAGGGGAGGGGCAGAGGGAGAAGAGGGAGAATCTCAAGCAGAACTCGACGAGGGGCTCAATCTCTGTGAGATCATGACTCGAGTTGAAATCAGGAGCCAGCTACGGGGCTGACTGAGCCACTCAGGCACCTCTCACCACAGACCTTAACACTGGCCTTCAAGAATGTGTGATCGCTGCAGGAATAAACTTTAAGAATAAACTTTAGCTAGATTATCGTAAAGCGACTTCGTGGAATGCTACAGTGGTCTAAAACAATTTCCTGCAAGGGAGGATGTCCATGGTGTCCTGTTGAGGGAAAGAGGGAAGTTGTAGGGCAAGAGCTGTGTTATTTCTTTGCTCTTCCTCCCCGCAACTCCCCTCTCTGCATCCCTCCCTCTTTCCCCTTCTCTGTCTCTTTCTTCATAGAGGAAAGGGTTGTGTGTGTGGGGGTGTGTGTGAGCACACATAGGCACCTACATTTTTTGGGTGAAGCTTTGGAACGCTGCACACCGAACTTTTAGCGGTGATTTCCCACGGCCTGCAGAAATGTTAAAATGTGAGACGTTTTTACAACGAGCAGTGATTACTTTTGTAGTTAAAAATAAACCAAAACCTAAAAATCTGTACACGTCGTTTGATTTGGCAATTCTAAGAATACCTCACGTCGCAAAAATACCTGCACTCAAGAGGGCAGAAATGCTAAGGATATTTATTGCAGTGTCACTTTTAGTAGCTAAACAAGAAACAGGCTGCTTGTTTACTAGTAGGGGGTTGGATGGTGATCGAACCACATCCGTACCGTGGACTTGTGTGCGGCCATTGAAGAATGCGTAGGGCTGTCTGTTTCTCATGAAGCCTTGTCTGAGATGTGTTATTCTGCCACCAAACCAGGAACAGGAAAATATGGGTGATATGATTTCTATTTGACAAGAATTCTACTGATAATTCTATTTTTAAAAAACACGTCAAATTGTTGCTTCGGTGTGCCGAAATAGCTGAATATCGTTTATTTCAGGGTCACCTTAAAATACACATAGAGAATCAGGTGAACACCAACCTGTTGACAGTGGGTTAGCCTTTGGTGAATGTGCTGTTAGGAACACCCACTTTCCCGTAATACTAGAGTCCTTAATAAGCATGTTATCTGTTGGTGATTTTGAAAAGATGGATGGTCGCACAGGTGTTTGGACTGAGCTCACATCACTGACCTTGGCCTGAGGGGCATGTGGAATCTCCCCCAGCCCTCCTGATGACAAATGACCATGACCCGGAATCTCCACTGCCCCTGAGGCTTCTAGAACATCTGCCTCGAGGGTGGGGCCAGGAGAGTTTTGATTTTATGTGTGGGGGTGGGGGGCATGGGACGGACGGGAGGGACAGACAGACCCTGGTCTGGGACAGTGCCTCAGCCCAGCTTGCCCCCTGTGCGTCTCCGTAAGTCCTGTAGAGGGAGACAGAGTGTTGCTTCTCATTACGGAGAAAGGTAAATCCTCACGGAGGCCTCCCACATCCCACCACGCTTTCTTCAAGAATGCTCGAGCCCCAGTTGCATACTATATAGGGTCAAACTCACTGGCTGCCTGTGCCCTTCAAATCAAATGCATTTGTCATTATTATCTTAAAAGAATGTGTGTCCGTTATACAGAAAATGTGGAAAATGCTCAAATGTTGCAGACAAGGGTCACTGCTCATCCCAGTACCTTGGTGATTACTCCTGTAAGACCCTTTGAGTTCACTTGTCTTCTGTGCTGGCTGGGCATTCCCATTTGATTCCTTGGTGGCAGTTTGGGATCGTGTCTCATAAACGTATCCACTTGTGTTTGGCTCTTATAGCGGAGTCGGGGGGCGGGGGGGCTGGTGGAGAACGTCGGGTGGGAAGGGGGATATTTCTTAAAAACTCGTGACTCTTGCTGTTCACAGGCCCCCAGGACAGCAGCAGGATGGGAATTCTGTACATCCTGGTTCCCAGCATCGCGATTCCTCTGGTCATCGCGTGCCTTTTCTTCCTGGTCTGCATGTGTCGGAATAAGCAGAAGGCCTCTGCGTCCACACCACAGCGGCGGCAGCTGATGGCCTCTCCCAGCCAGGACGTGGAGATGCCTCTCATCAACCAGCATAAGCAGGTCTCCCGCCCCTCCAGGCGTAGCCTCTACCTGGAGATCGCTGGGCTTCTCGATTTGCTCGAAACTCAACACGTAGCTATTCTGTTCTATTCCAATCTAGTCTAGTCTAGTCTAGTCTATTCTATTCTTACTCTACTGTATCCTATTTTATTCTACTCTGTTCTATTTTTACTTTATTTTGACTTTTAGTTTGTTTTGTTTTATTTTTATTTTACTTTATTTTATTTTTATTCTCTTTTGTTTTATTTTTCTCTTTACTTTCTTTTCTTTTTACTTTCCTTTCTCTTTACTTTTTAATTTTCATTTTACTTTCTTTTTCCTTTATTTTGTTTTATTTTGTTATTTTATTTTTTATATTTTAAGAGCGCGAGAGCACAAGCTGGGGAGAGGGGCAGAGGGAGAGGGAATCTCAAGCAGGCTCCACACTCAGCATAAAGCCCAATGCGGGACTCGATCCCACGACCTTGGGATCATGCTCTGTGCCAAAACCAGTCTGACACCAATAACTGAGGCCACCCGGCAATAAACCGCCCTGACACTATTTTAACCGCCTTGATTTTTTGCTGTATGTTCTCTAAGACATATCAGGACATTCGTGAGCTTAGGAAGTAAGCTGTATGTAGCTGGGATGTAGGCGTCCCAGCCCACCCCACTGTCACTAGGCTCCCCCCTCCCGCTTCAAACCTGTGGCGCGCCAACGAGGGAGTCCCGAGCTACATCCGGGCTCTGAACCTGGGAAATGCGCCTCCCACAGAGAACAAAGGAGAAAAGGGGTTTGGATCGCCCGACCACCAGGCCAGCTCTTCCAAGGGGCTGGGGTGTGTTTTCGGTCTCGTGTGAGGTTGGTGAACTCTGGGTGGGGGTAGGACAGGCTGCTGTTGCCACCTCCCGAGAGTTTAGGACGAAGCAGAGCATATCAAAATACAGCACACGAGAAAGTCATCACCCCGCCTGCCCACGGAGGGGACGTTTCTGTTACTGCAGGCATGGGGAAGCTCATTCCCTGCCTGGGCTCAAGGAGGTAGAGTGGACTTCGTTCAATGTGTAGCCCGGCAGTCACTGTGTGGAGACTCTGCTTGTTGGGGGGGCTCTGGGATGAATGTGGTGAGGAGAACGCGAGAACCTCGTTGAGGGCGGGCACATTTCCAGAGCAGCAGGAAAAGGCGGCTGAAAGGTGCCCCGGACAATGAAACCGGTGGGGCGGTGCTGACAGGTGCTGCTGCCTGAGCGGGTATTGAGTCCAGGGGGGGCGTCATCTGCCCCTTGAAGCGGGAGCCCGTTCAGTTTTTTCAGCTTGCTCGACTGGAAATGGTGAGCTGGGGGGCGGGGCGCTGATCAGAATGAGCTGGGTTGCCCAGAGACGGCGCTGCTGGTCCCCCTCTGTGTTTCACTATTGGGACGCCATCTTCCTCGGCAGGCCAAGCTGCTTTGGGAAATCGCTCAGCCACCAGGTGGTCGTGGCGACTCGGGACGGGTTAGGAGAGCGTGTTGAGCAGAGAGGGGGGGGGGGGGTAGGCCGGGGGGGGGGGTTGCTGGGATCCCACCGCCCCCCCTGGCCTCCCCCCCACCCCCCCCCCCCCTGCCCCCCCCCCAGTTCGCCCCCCCCCCCGCCCCCCCCTGTGTTTCCCCCCCCCCCCACTACCCCCCCCCCCCGGCAGGCCCCCCCCCCAGCTCAAGGAGATCAGCCTGTCCCCCCCCCCAGAGGTTCATGCCCCCCCCCCGGGAGGACCGTTCCCCCCCCCCCCGGGAGCCCCCCCCCGGCTGCACACCCCCCCCCCCCACCTGAGCCGCCCGACTGTTGAGCAGAGCTGACGGTGACCAGGCGATATCAAAACGCTGAAGGACAAAGCGGAGGGGCCGCTCCGGGAGGAGTTCCGGCACGAGGCCATGCTGGGCGGCACCCCAACATCGCAGCACCTGTCGTGCTGGGCGTGGTGACCAAGGACCAGCCGCTCAGCATGGTGTTCAGCTACTGCCGCGACGGGACCTCCACGGTCATCGCCTGGTTCGCCACACTCACCGACGGGCAGCACCGACGACGACCGCACGGTGAAGTCCACCCTGGAGCCCCCCCGACCGTTACTGCATCGCCGTAAGCAGGGCGAGATCGCCTCGGGCATGGAGTACCTGTCCAGCCACCACGTGGTCCACAAGGACCTGGCCACCCGCAACGTGCTCGTGTACGACAAGCTGAGCGTGAAGATCTCGGACCTGGGGCTGTTCCGCGAAGTGTATTCGGCCGACTACTACAAGCTGATGGGGAGCGCGCTCCTGCCCGTTCGCTGGATGTCTCCCGAGGCCATCGTGTACGGCAAGTTCTCCGTGGACTCGGACATCTGGTCCTACGGCGTGGTCCTGTGGGAGGTCTTCAGCTACGGCCTGCAGCCCTACTGCGGGCACGCCAACCAGGACGTGGTGGAGATGATACGCAGCCGGCAGGTGCTGCCTTGCCCCGACGACTGCCCGGCCTGGGTGTACGCCCTGATGCTCGAGTGCTGGAGCGAGTTCCCCAGCCGGCGGCCCCGCTTCAAGGACATCCACGGCCGGCTCCGGGCCTGGGGCAACCTGTCCGCCTACAACAGCTCGGCGCAGACCTCGGGGGCCAGCAATGCCACGCAGACCAGCTCCCTGAGCACCAGCCCGGTCAGCAACGTCAGCAACGCCCGCTACGGGGGGCCCAAGCCGAAGGCCCAGCCCTTCCCGCAGCCCCCGTTCATGCCCATGAAGGGCCAGATCAGGCCCATGGTGCCCCCTCCCCAGCTCTACATCCCCGTCAACGGGTACCAGCCCGTGCCAGCCTACGGGGCCTACCTGCCCAACTTCTACCCGGTCCAGATCCCGATGCAGATGGCCCCGCAGCAGGTGCCCGCCCAGGTGGTCCCCAAGCCTGGCTCCCACCACAGCGGCAGCGGCTCCACCAGCACGGGCTACGTCACCACCGCACCCTCCAACACGTCCATGGCGGACAGGGCGGCCCTGCTCTCCGAGGCCACCGAGGACGCACAGAACGCCCCGGAGGACGCGGCCCAGAGCCCTGTGCAGGAAGCCGAGGAGGAGGACGGCTCTGTCCCGGAGACCGAGCTGCTGGGGGACAATGACACTCTGCAGATGGGTGAGGCCGAGGGCCAGCTGGAAGCTTGAGGGGCACGGGGCCGCCGGGCACCCGGGGAGGCTTGGGCAACCCCCACCGGGCTGGTTTGCGGTGTCACCGTGCGAAATCTGTTCCTCCGTCGTCCTCTTGTGCACAGAGCTGCCGCGGTGGCCACTCGTGGTTGTAGGGTGTGGGTGCTGGTGGCACCCAGCCGGGCGGGGGCGGGGGCTCGGGAAAGTGGGTGGCACCCACCTGCACGGCCTGCATTCCCTGAGGTCAGACCGGCGGTGCTCTCTGCCCGTGCTCGGCGGGAACGTAGGCGGCATCTTCCCTCCACGTTGGCATATGGATCGAATGTGATGAAACTTTGGGAAAACAGGCCCTGGGGGGCGGCGAGGTGCGACCTCGGGCTTTGAGATTCCCGGCGGCTGGCCTGTGTGAGGACGGGGGAGGCCTGCCTTTTCCCCGCCGCCCCCCGCCAGGGTCGGTCTCCCGCTTCAGCCACCCAGGATCGGCGGGAACAGGACGCTGCCACCGACCAGCGTCCCACGAGCCCGGGGCTCCTGCAGTGGGAGTTCTGTGTGCCTTCAATGAAAATGTGCCTTAAAAAAGAGAAACCCACCGATGGGATTTTGTATCTTTGTGAAATGGTTTGAATTCTCCCGCATGTGTATCTTGCCCGCTTTTCTGGAAAGCGTTTCTTGGGTTTGGAAACGCGAGGAGCGACGTCGTACAGAGCACGGTGTTGTTCTTTTGTGTCTTGAGAATCACGTACGGGCCCGAAAACTGTAACTTATGTGGTTTCTGCACCATTTCCCTTGACGTATCGTGCGCTTTAGTAATTTAACCGTTCGCGCCACCCGCGCCGGAATGCCACCGGATCTTGCTCGTGCGTTCGTTTGCTTGCGCTCCTGCCACGTGGAGGCGAGGTCCGCTCATGTCCGAGCTGGCGGGACAGCGCCACCCCCGCATCCCGGTGGCTCTCACTTGTAACTCCCATACCTGGCGTATCCAATAAAGCGAAACAGAACTTTTGGTCGGCTCTCTGCGGGTTGCGAGGACGTGGGGCAGTGGAGGTGCTGCGTGACCCCACTGCGATGCCCTGGGGCTGAGTGCTTGCCGTGGGTCGGGGTGGGGGGGGGGTGGTCTCGTCCAGGACCGGCAACTCCGTCCGCGTGTGGACTTACGTTGCCACGTGACAGATGCAAACCCATGCTGTCGCTCTTCTGCTAGCGTCTCTCGGAGGTGATTTCCTGGCCGATGACGTGAAGTTGGTCTGGGGTTTTAGCCTGTCTCCTCCTGAGGTCCCATGGCCCCTGAGAGCTGGGGACCTGCAGCCCGGCACTTCCCAGGGCCCTGGAGCAGGGCGGGGGTGGGGGCGAGGCGGTGAGTTGGGAATGGGCTGCCTGCACCACCGCCCAGGGCCACCTGTGCCTCTGCTCGCTGGGCAGTTCAGCCCGAATGAACCGCCCCCCGCCCCCCCCCCGGAGGGGTTCCAGGGCTTCCGGTCGGGAGAGGGGCCACTGTAGCAGCACAGCTGCGGGGGGACCGGCAGGCAGCCTGGCCCCAGTGCCAGCCTGGGAGGAGGCCGTCGGAGCTGGTGGCAGTGGGTCCATGGCACTGGGGCCAGGCGAGGCTCAGCGGGGAATTTGCATCACGTGTGCTGGAGAACCGCCCTCTCTGCTCCCCGGAGGGGTCTGGATGGGACCAAGATGTTGCCTGTACAAGCGGCCGGAAGGGGGGCGAGCCACGGAGCCACAGACCGGACCACGTGATGGTGCAGCCCCTGAGGTCATCTTGAGCTTCAGGGCCGTCGTGTGCAGCCCTCACCCGCTGCTTTGGCAGAATGCTGCTGACACACGAACTAGGATGTCGGAATGTGTATCCTGAGACCGGAGGGCCTCCCAGCTTGGCAGAGGAAGCGGCATGATTGGGCGGTTGGGACTGGGACACCACCCCCGCCCCCGGACCACCCCCCCCCCCCCCCGCCGGAGCCCCCTGCTCCTGGCGAGTGTGGTCTGAGGTGTAGAGGAAGAGAACTCAGGATCGGATAGGGCTGCTTCCCGTTTCCATTGACCTGATGGTTTAACCGTTGGGTTGACACCTGAGAGTGGAAAATGGGGACTGTCACCTGGCCGCGGGCACAGGCGGGCAGCAGCTGCCGCTTCGGCTCCCCAGCCCTCGGTGCCCAGCCGGGGACAGCGGCCCAGGCTGCCGACGCCTTGGAGCCCCCAGCAGAGGCTCCGCAGAAAAGTTGGCAGGGCTTTTTTTGTGGAGCGGGAGAGGCTTTGAATTGGGGGATTTTGCTTGCTGGGTAAACACAGCATCTTTTGTTACGGCTCTAACTGTAAAGCCTCTTACGTCCTCAGGAAGGTGACTGAGTTTCTGGAGTCCGCTGGACAACAGGTACTTGGCGGGGAGGTTCTGGAACCACTGACGTTAGAGCCAAGTTGCAGGATTCAGATAAACGTCCCTCGCGCCGTGCGCGGGCCGCACGCCCGTCCCCGTCCATCCCACGGCGGGAGACGGCCGCAGCTGCTGAGTAACTCGTGTACGTGTGATTGGTTTCGTCAAGCCGTGCAAAGCCCCAAATAGCTTTTTCAGTTCTTCTGTTTTTTGACGAGCGGTCTTTGTTGGAACAGCGTGTCAGAGCGATGGCTGATTTTTCTGTACTAATTTTAGAGGGTTGGACCAAACGCCACCGTATATGGTAGCCCCCCCTCTGAATCAAGAACACCTCTCGCTTCTCTCAACACGGAAACATTTTTTAAATAGGCTCCCTTGACATTCGGTTCCTCCTCGGAAATTCGGCGTCGGTACCTACGTGGGGGGACTTGGTGCTTTTACACCTTTGTTTGAAACGGATCTTACACAGATGTCAGTTCTGTGTGGGATTCTTACAGGAACATTTAAACCGTTTTTTGGGGGGTGGGGGGAGGTTTGAGGTTAACTTTTAAGAGGTTAACTTTTCAGAGTAAATGGAGCTCGGGGTACCGTCTGGAAACCTCGCCACCATGAGCCAAGGTGACCTACGGAAGGTCTGTCCCCCTCCCACCACGCCCCCATCTCCCTCCTCACCAGTCCCCAAAGTACTAGAGACTAAGTACTTCCTGGCATGATACTTGGTGAGCACGCAGCCATTGGCTCTTGAAATAGGAGTGAGGTTTTATTTAGGTGGGGAAGCCTGGGTTTAGCCTCCCTGGCACTGGCCCGCGAGGACATGAGCCCCGGGGTCAGGTGTTGAAACCAGAATAGCGCTGTCATAATTCTGTATTTCTGTTTCACTTAAGTACTGCATAGTGAATTCGCTCCTGCAGGTCAGAGACACGGCCCATCCCGTCCGCCCCGTGTCCCTCCAGGTAAACTCCCGTCGTTGGCTTGTTAAGGGTCCACCCAGTTTTTAGTACATGCGTGAGGAAACATACCTGTATGTTCTCATCTGTAGCGCTTTATTTTAATGCGTACGCGGTCCCCTTCCCTACAGATTGTTTCCTGCCTTGCTTTTTTTTCATGGTGACCATGTATCTTGGGGCTCTGTGCCCTCCGGTGAGTAGGGAGCTAGTCTGCTGGAGGAATTTCTCGCAGTGCCCCTCAGTGATGTCTCAGTGCCAGTCCCGAGCCCCCGGGCCTGGAACGCTGTTCGCCTGCAGGCGTAGGTGGGGATAAAGCTGAGCAGGACTGAGGAGCCTTGGCTTGGTGCTCATCCATGTTTTTAAAAGGACGGGACGGGACGGGGGTCCTGGGTGGCTCAGCAGGTTAGGCATCCGAGTCTTTATTTTAGCTCAGGTCATGATTGTGGGTTTGAGCCCCGCATCGGGGCGTGGAGGCTGCCTAAGGTCCTCCGTTTCTCTCCCCCCTCCCTCTACCGCTCCCCTGCTGCCCACACACTCTCTCTCTCTCTCTCTCTCTCTCTCTCGAAAAAAGAGCAAGTTAGCATTTTTAACTCCCTAGTATTGCTTTTTCTGGAATTTGTCCTGTTCACTTTTTCCCACTCTGCAGTGCTGAGGCCTTAGTGTGAAATGTTGCCCAGAGGCAGAGAAGCAGATTGATAAACCACCCCTCGTGTGTTGGAAGGCCTTAGGGGCATGTGCAGCTACCCGGGGAGACACAGGGCCAAGTGGGAAAACTCCAGAAGGCAGCTGGGCGGATACCCGCCAGCCCAGGATGGGTATTACTGCCCCTGCACCCCGGCTCTAGGTAGTAAAGTGCAGGTGTCCTTCGCTATCACGTCCACCAGGGGGCCGAGTCCAGGTGAGTGGTGTTACCTGCTTCCTGATCTTTCTTAGTGGAGGGGAGGCGGGGTGCAGGCAGGTTAAAGGGAACTGGGGGGAGGAAAGGCAGCCTGGTCCCTCCTTGTGCTGCTGCCCCAACTCGTGCCATTTCCGCGTGGAAGCTTCTCCTTTTTCTCGGAAGGAGGGATGTATGTACAGGTAGGGCAGAGTCCGGCCTGAGGAGGTCTTCGTTTGACAGGGGCATGTAACAAGGCCTGACTCTGCAATGCCTGATTCCGTTTCTTTTTGCTTAAAGATGAATTGTAGACATGCCCAGAAGAGCCCTCTTCATTCCTTACTAGAAAGTGACTCCTCGCTACGGTGTCTTTAATGGAAACCTGCACCAAAGCCACCTCTCTGGGGGAACGCCAGTCTAAACCGATCCCAAGAACGTGCAACCATGGGGCGCCTGGGTGGCTCAGTCGGTCGAGTGTCTGACTCTTGATTTCGGCTCAGGTCGTGATCCTGCCAGGGTCGTGGGATTGAACCCCACCTCAGGCTCTGCACTGATCACTGAGCATGGAGCCTGCTCAAGATTCTCTCTCTCTCTCTCTCTC